GGCTAATAATATCCACTTCCCTTGTTAGGAGATTTAATAAGTAACATATACACTGTGTTAAACATACTGTTCACATAGGTGCTCAATAAATACTTCTATTGTTCCTCTTTTGATTTGTTTGATTAAATCAACTTCTAGCTCTGAAATTCCATGATTCTTACCATACTGCATGGGTTCTATTGTGTATTGGTGTATACACTGTCTAGTACAGTGGTTCTCAACCTTCTGGCCCTTTAAATACAGTTCCTCATGTTGTGACCCAACCATAAGAGTATTTTCGTTGCTACTTCATAATTGTAATGTTGCTACTGTTACGAATCGTAATGTAAATATCTGATATGCAGGATGGTCTTAGGTGACCCCTGTGAAAGGGTCATTCAACTGCCAAAGGGGTCGCGACCCACAGGTTGAGAACCGCTGCTCTAGTCCATTGTGCATGTGAAATAGTCTCTCCGGCGGCTGGCAGAAGTCTGAAACAAAAGCTGAACTAAGCTTCAATCCATTTCTCCTCTTTGTCTCTTATAGTAACCTGCATAGTGTTTTGCATGTGTATATGTGAATGGTGTGGAAGTGTAGAGTTCAACACATTGAGGCAGAATTCAGGATTTTTCCATGGGAACTGCTAACCTGCTTCCAAACCCAGAAAAGCTGCTTTTCTGTCTCCAGAAGAAGTTTCTAAGATCATATCAACCATACTTCTAGGAGATTTGAAGGCAACATACCGTAACAGCATAACCTTCAGAGCTCATGTCTATAGAGCTTACAGTCAGCTCTATTTCCACTCCCAGTCTTCCCTCTGTCTTTATTATATGGTTGTGTACATACTTGTATCTCTTCCCCAAAGAACATAAACTCCTTGAAACCTTGTTGTATTCAACTTTGCCTTGCCTAGTCACCACCCCCAATTCACAGACTATCCTACCTCTTGTAGATATTCAACAAGTATTTGTTAAGTTAAAAAAAATCACACCTGGTTAATCAGAAGGTAAAGATAATCTCACTTATTATCTCCTAGTGTTCCCTGAGCTCTAGCAGCACACACACGTTTAGGTGAGTGGTGTGGCCAGAGGGCATAGGAGGGGACCCTACTACCTCAGATTGTAGCTGTCGTATCACTTACTGCATGTTTCAAGGAAAGTCTGCATGGTGTAGTGGTTAAGAGTATGAGCTATAAGCCATTTTACCTGTATTTGAATCTTGTTACAAGTCACATAACATCTCTGTGCATTAGTGTTTTCTCATCTGCAAAGTAGGAATAATAATCTGAAATGCTATCTGATAGCATTGTCATGAAGGTTTACTGAGTTAATATATGTAGTGCACTTTAGAATAGCACTGGACTATCACAAGTGCCTAGAATTAGTTATTTTATACTCTGCTAAAGTTTTATAGAAATGTAACCGGGAGCTGGGTAGTAATCAGCCATAGGAAGGAAATGCAAAGGGTATTAAGAAGAGGGAGGTTAGGAACATATCCAGGAAGGTGACTATAAACCCAATGTAGGAGAAATAATTTCTTTAGGCAGAAAAATATCTTTGCCATGAAGTGTGAGGCTGGGGTGCTGTGTACCTGGTGGAACCCATTCACCTGGGTGGGGGATCCAAGTGTCTCTCTTGGTGGTGAAGTAGCCTACCTCTTGAAGTTTTTTTTTTTTTTTTTTTTTTTTATAAGTATGGTCAAGTTGTAGGGAAAATTCTATCATAAAAAAGCATTTCATATCAAATGAGTTATTTTTATTTTCTTTTTTAAAAAATATATATTTTATTGTTTTTTACAGAGAGGAAAGGAGGGGAATAGAGAGTTAGAAACATCGATAAGTGAGAAACATCGATCAGCTGCCTCCTGCAAACCCCCTACTGGGGATGTGCCAGCAACCAAGGTACATGCCCTTGACCTGAATCGAACCTGGGACCCTTTGGTCCGCAGGCCAACGCTTTATCCACTGAGCCAAACTGGTTAGGGCGAGTTATTTTTCTTATTAAGAATATTTGTGAGCAGCTTGATATTTTAAACCAAACTATGAGACTGATTTTTCTTAGATGTATATAAAATTTATAAGGTATAGTGATAATGTGGAGTACTTTAAATAGAGGATCTAAATATCAGTGATATAAAAAGCCAATTCTTTTAATAATGGACACATATTCTTTAATGGATTTTAAGACTTTTACTTTTTTGGAAAGCAAAGATTTGTGTGCTTAACTAGGTATAAAGCAATTTTAGGCAAGGAGAATAACATTTCTAGTAGTAAAATATTATGAGGCTAATAATGATAGAAGACACATCATCAAAGGAAAACAGTGACTTGTGAGAAAAAAGGACTAATCAGGCATTGAAGTGATGACTTATAAAGGTAATTATGGCAATGGACTAAGCCTTTGGGGATATTTTGTTATTACCTGTCAGAGAATATTTGTGCAGTTAACATTCTGTGAAGAGCAGAAGCTATTCAAATTTTATTACATGCTTGGTGAAAAACTAAAGAACACACTGCTTGGTGTTTCCCATAGTTTTAGTGTGTGTGTGTGTGTGTGTGTGTGTGTGTGGTCTATGCCTTAGACTAATGAACAACTTCCATATCAGAGATCAGGTTCTATGGGTACATAGAAGGGGTTTTTCTTACCATAGCAGTTATAGTAAATCGGCTCCCAAACTGACCATATGAGCCTATTCTTGTGATCAGGTAAAGTTGTATTAGGCCCAAACTTTGTATGCTGTACTGGTTCAGGTTTTTAATTGTATGATATGACTAAATTTCTCCTTAATCTGCTTGAAAATGTAATTCAAATGTAGGAATGAGACTCCACAGTGAGTCCCCACAGTAAGAAAAAAAAAAAAAAAAAAAAAAAAAAAGGCCAGCTTATTTCTAAATGGCAATCTTCAATTGTCAGACCACATCAATCACCTGACTTCTAGTCAGCCCGAATGTACTTTCAAGGTCAGGTCTCCTGATGAAGAAATTTGGCTTAGTGGGTTATGCAGCAAAAATGCCTAAAGCCAGAGCACTGTTGTGGTCTTGGAAGAAATAGTTGCTCTTCAAAGAGCAAAGGGGAGGAAAGAATGGAAGACTTTAAGGTTTTTCGTTGGTTTTGTTTTTGTTTTCCTAAGCACATTTCCTAACGTTTCTGCCTGTATCTCATTAAAAAGTTGGGTAAAGAAATGGGGGGGGGGGGGGGGAGATTTCATAGAAGGTCCATACAGAGTCCTACAGGCACAACCTATTTGGCTTACTTTTCAAAAAATTTAGGAAATGCCATGTTAGAAAAAATTACCCGGATTTCTCTGGCTTCTCAAGAAACGGGGACCTCCGGCCACAGCGGTCCTGCACTCATGTGGGGAAAAAGCTGCTCTGCACACATGCCCTACAAACGGGCAGATCTTTGTTCAAGGGACGGTGGGGGCCGGGGAACCCTCCGAACCAGTCCTAAATTTCCCGTTTCTGCAATGATCTGACCCAACCCTACTTTTCCAGAATGGCCGAAAGGACGGAACTAAGTGTGGATGGACGGACCCTGTGGCCCCAGCTCGGCCACAAGCCAGGGGGTGACCTCGGGCGAGTCCGTGAAGCGCTCCTGGCCTGAGGAGGTCTGGCCTGTCAGGGTCCTAGTACCCGCTGGGAACCTCTCCCCGGCGGCTGCACAGCACCCTGAGATTTTGCAAGTTCCCCTAATTTATAAACCGCAAAGCGCTCCCAGCACGCGCGCCACTGCGGCTGCCGAAGCCGGTTCCCGGAATCCGCGCTGCTCTCGCCTCCCACGCGCAGGGTGGGCGAGCGGAGGACACTTTTCGGGGGCGGTGGGGGTGGGTCTGAAAAGCTGGGTTGGAGGGTCCCCAGTGGGGAGAAAGTTGCTGGCGGCATTTTTCAGCCTCCAGAGCGACCAACGCCTGGCGCGGAGGACGGACCCCCAGCGCGCGGGTAGCGGTTCCCGGCCAGCTCCCGGCTCGCAGCCGGGGTTCCACGGGTCTGGCCAGCCCCGCTCACCCCGCATAGGGACCCCAGACCCAGGACCCCGGGCCGCGCCCTCAACCACCTTCCCCGCCCCCTCCACGTGACAAGAGCCGACACCGTCACTTCCGGCGGCGCGGGTAACGCGCCTGCGCGGGGCGCCCGGCCTCCGAGAGCCGTTGGCAGCGGCGCCGCGCCGCCAACAGCCGCGAGTGGCGGGCGGCGTGGGTCCGGCCTGGACAGTGGCGGCGGCGCGGGCTGCGGTCGGGGCGAGAGCGTCCCGGGAGGTTGAGCCCACTCCCAGGAGGGGTGGCCGCCCCGCCCCTTCTCCGTTTCCCTCTCTCACGCCTTTCTCCCGGGATCGCGCTCCGGGAGCGCGGAGAGGCGGGGGCGCCCCGGGCAGTCGCCCCGGCTTCGGAGTCGCCCCCGCGCTTGGGCCCGCCCCCCAGCGCCCCGCCCCGTCCCGTCCCCGCCCACCCGCCGCCTCTGCGGGAGCCGGGCAGCTGCAGCGGAGCTGGGAGCGGGCGGTGGGCCGGGCAGTGCGCTCTGGCGCGCGGCATGTGAGGCTCGCGGGCCGCAGCGCGCACGGACGCTCGGGGGCCACCCACCCCTCGCGGACGCCGGGAACTCGCCCTCGCGCGCGCCCCGCGCCCCGCAGCGCCGGCGGGACCATGAAGAAGTTCTCTCGAATGCCCAAGTCCGAGGGCGGCGGCGGCGGCGGAGCGGCGGCTGGCGGGGCCGGCGGGGCCGGGGCCGCCTCTGGCTCCGGTGGCTCGTCCGTGGGGGTCCGGGTGTTCGCCGTCGGCCGCTACCAGGTCACCCTGGAGGAGTCGCTAGCCGAAGGTACGGGGGGAGGCGCGGGCGGGCAGGTGAGGTCGGGCTGGGGTGTGGCGGGGGCTCCCCCGGTCCGCGCCCGCTGCTCCGGGCGCCCTCTCGGGTCGCTCCTCGTCCCTCCCCGCAGCTGCTGTCGGGCCGGCCGCGGGCTCTCCAAGAGGAACTCGGGATTTCGCCCTTCAGCCGGCTCTCCCGGCCGCTGGCAGCTCTGATGGCAAGTTTAAGTCATTTTCAGCCCTTCTGGACGCGAGGAAATCAATAGAAAACGTCCGAGCGAGTGATGTGGGGGACGATTGGGCCAGTGACTCGGGTCGGAGCGGGCAGGACTGAAGCTCCGCGCTGCCCGCTGTGGCTCCGGCGGGTGTCACGCGGTGGCTGCTTCAGCGGACTCTCCACCCGCGTCGCGGGGCGTGGGACCCTGCAGCCCCCGGTGTGCATCCTGGCTTTGCTCCTGCTCTGTCGTCAGTTGGGAAGAAAAAAAAAATCACAATATATTCCTGTGTGTGCGCGCGTGTTACAGGTGATAATTTGTCCCAGATTCTGTTGGTAGGTGGCTTTGGGCTGAGCTGGTAAACTTGAAGTCTCTTTATCTTTGTGATGTGGAGCCTTTCCTATTCATTCCCTTTCACAGGGTCCTTTAAAGGTGGCATGAAAACAGTCGAATTTTCCCTTGCGAAGTTTTGTGCTCGGTCCTTCGTTATCTTTACCAGACTGTGTCAGCAGTTGCAGGTCTGCTGACAAAAAGTTTACACCATTTTAAAAAGAAAAGATTCCGCTCTTGAGTTGTGTATTGTTTAATTGGCTTGTAGAAAATACTTTCTCTTGTTTAGTACGTGCTTCATTGCCCTTTGAGTTTTTAATTGCAAAATGATATTACAAAATAAATATTTTTAGAAGTTCATAAAGAAATAATTGGTGGATAAACGGTCCTTTTAGGTTCCAAGGTTAAGAGAGAAGAAATTTGAAGATAATGTGGTTTGAAGACAGTAGGCTGAGATTACACTTTTTTTTTTTTTTTTTGGAATATCACAAACAATAGCAAATTAGTGCAGGAGAAAAAATCTGAAGGTTTTTGTCTATAAAATATTCTAAAGGGAAAGAAATGTATTATTTAGAGGTGGTTGTCATTGTTTTGCAAAACTTTGCCCCTACTAATGAGCCTCGCTGAACTTTGGTGAGGTGGAAGGAAGAATCCTTAGCTTCTCTAGAGAATGAATATATAGGGTGTCCCCCCAAAATGCACTTACATGCTTTGATTAATTATAAAGACAGTCTTTATTAAAATACGTTTCATTTTCAGAGTAGAGTTATCAGCTGTTAAAGTATGTGTTCGTTTTTTGGGGGACACCCTATGGTAATTGGTCATGATAGATAGATTTACTATGCTTTAAAATTTCCTAGCCCTTTATTATATGTGAATTTCAATATAATAGGTTTAAATTGAGTTGTAGGTTTTGAGAAGATGGCTATTACCACACATGCTATACTTCTGTCTTTGAATTGTATTAACTAATTGAAGTGCAGCTTGAGCAGTAGTGCACTCACTTCATTTCACTAAATCGCAGATGGGTCTTTTATTTAGTAGAAAGAAAATGAACTTTAATCAAATTACACTTGTTTTGTACCTTCTATCACTGCTCTAAGCATATTTTCATTACCCTAGGCAAGTCATTTTTATTTACAATAAAAAATAAGTAATTTTGGGAAATGAAATTAAAAATGAATTTCTAAAGGAGAGTGCTCAACCACTAAAAAACTTAAAAAAAATTAGCCCTAGCTAGCCAGTTTGGCTCAGTGGATAGAGCATCAGCCTGCGGACTGAAGGGTCCCGGGTTCGATTCTGGTCAAGGGCATGTACCTTGGTTGTGGGCACATCCCCAGTAGGGGGTGTGCAGGAGGCAGCTGATAGATGTTTCTCTCTCATCTATGTTTCTAGCTGTCTATCCCTTTCCCTTCCTCCCTGTAAAAAATCAATAAAATATATTTTTAAAAAAACTTAAAAAAATTTCAAGCACTAATGTTGTTCCACTGATTTGGTTTTTCTCTTGGAAGTAGTCTGTAATCAAGTGCTAGGAGGAAGCAAAGGTTGAAGAAACTCTTAAAAGATGGGACTTGGCCACCCAACACCCCAACCCTTGGGACTAGGCTTTAGCTTTCCCTGGAGGGAAGGTTGAGGCCTAGGCTTTCTTCCTGTGTGCATTTCTGCTACCTTCAGAACATACACAACTAAAATTATTGATATTTGGTTTACTTTTTGATTTTGATAATTCATTCCTATTTCAGATGCTTTAATATCCTCCCTTCTTTCCAAATAAGTAATACCACAATTTAGGCAAGAAGTTTAAGCACAAGTCTGGTTCACATTCAAGAATGATCATTCAATAACTGACAGATACATTATTCTGATTATAAGATTAGGGCAAGTGCTTCTGAAAAGTCTAGAGTTTAAAGTACCTGAATTGTGGAGAGTTATACCACTAAGTGGCAAAAGTGGTAGAAGCAAAGACAGATCAGAAAACAAACTTGGTAGATTTTATATTTTTTCCTTAGGTCAGTATTGTTTAAACAGGGGCCAAGACCCTGTAGATTCTGTGCTCTGAGGTGTTTTGCCTCCACTGCAAACATAGGCATATTGCTCAGAATGACCTCTGCAGTGCCTTTGAGAGGCTTCACAAACTCTGGCTCTCTCTTTGATATATATATGTGTGTATATATATGTACATATGTGTATATATACACATGTGCATGTATGTGTATATATATATGTACATGTATGTATGTATGTATGTATACTAGTGGCTGGGTGCATGAATTCATGCACATTGAAAGGCAATTAATTAGAAGAAATATTTTAATATCACTATTCGCCCTTTCTCTGTAATGGAAGTGTCAACTAAGTCACGATCGACAATGACAGGTTGAAACCCACACGTGCGATTAGCACCAGCGAGAGCTTTATATATGTAGATAACGTTGCTTAATTAGACCTGCTTTCTGATTTAGCTAAACTTTTTCCAGTCCAATGAAACACCCCAACTTCTCTTTCAGGTAATTGTCAGCAACACAGAAGTAAATATCAACATGAAGCAGATTATTATTGCAGATCACACAAAGAGAACAAAGGGTAAAATATTTAACTGCAGCAGTGTTTGACTATATTCTGTGCAGTGAGAAAACCTGAAGTCATTTTCAAGGTCCACCATTTCTTTCTTTCTTTTCAGTCAGGTCAAATTTCTAAGCTTTCTAAATCTCCATTTTCCGGCTAATGAAAAGAAAATAGGATTCCACCGGGTCTCCTATCTACCTACTCCAGGACTTCTGTGAGGATCAAAAGAGATGAAGCACGGGAAAACACTTCACAGACATTTGGTTAAAGTGTAACATGTTTCCCCCTGGCTGTAAAGCAAGTCGTGTTCCTGGGCTGAAGGAACTCCAAGGATGCTAGTCGCTAGGGAGAGGAAGCCGGTTGTTGCTACATGATGTCATTATCCAGTGCCCACAGCCGCTGTTTCCGGGCTGGGCTGGGCTGTGGGCTGCATTTTGCGCCATGTGGTCTCTGGCAACATCGGCTGTGATTTGGTGGGGTGTCACTCTGGGGCGGTGGCGGGGCTTGTGTCCCACTTGGAGGAAGCCAAATGTTGCTTTGTGGGCGCCAGGTCCAAGGTGCCGTTTATTGTTAAATGGCCTGTCGCTAGGGAGAGGAAGCCAGGCATTGCCACGTGATATCATTACCCAGCACCCACAGCCACCTTTCAGGCTAGGCTGGACTGTGGGCCACATTTTGTGCCATGGGGTCTCGGCAATGTCAGCTGTGATTTGGTGGGCTGTTGCTCTAGGGTGGTGGCGGGGCCTGTGTCCCACTTGGGGGAAGCCAAGTGTTGCTTTGTCGGCACCAGGTCTGTGGTGCTGTTTCTCTGTAAATGGCCAGTGCTCGTCATGGCAGCTCCTGCGTTGAGCGTCTGCTCCCTGGTGGTCAGTGCACGTCATAGTGACTGGTCGGATGGTCTGACACTTAGCATATTAGCCTTTTATATATATATGTATGTATATATACACATACATATATATATACATATACATGCATATATGTGTATATATACATGTATATGTAAAATTCTCATTACTTGCCATAGTTATGTTCTGTAAAGTGAACATAAACATGAACCATTGCTCTTAGGGGAAATATAGTGTTAGGGTACTGTAAGCTTCTGTTCACACTATTTTTGTCAGCCAGTCAGTACAGAACCTTGCTTTGTGTGTGTTTCTGTTTAAATACACCATATTTAATATAAATTGTTGGCTGATTAACATTGAACTCATGGCCAACAGTACTGCAGTTCATGCCAAAAAGAAGTTTAGCTCATACACATATGTTCTCAGTGAGGGGCATCACAGCCTTCTTGGGCTTAGTAACACCAGACAATACTTTAGCACTGTACTTGGGAGACATTTAAAAAATAAAACCACTAATAAAAAGCACAAAAATGAGAAAAACATGACACTAAATAGATGTTGAAAAGGGCACTTGTTTATAACATGAGAGCTGAGATCAGAAGGCACAGCATCACTTTTTTTACTCCAGCTGGTCTATTCAAAATTTTCACCACTATGTGCACGTGTGCATGTAACTGTGAAAGTGCCATTGTATGGATATGGGGATATTGTGTTGATTTTGGGATACAAATAAATTTTAGCAAGTGGGTGACTTTTCAAATATGGAACTCTCAAATAATGAGGATAAACTATGTATGTGCATTTATGTGTATACTATATACATGCACATACATGTATGTTTATATATTATACACATTTAATTTTTAAAAATATAAATAGTTCTCAGGAGTACATATACTTATGTTGTATGTTATACCTAAACTGTTGGACTAGTTTCCTCTCTGAAATATATGCTTTGTATAATAATGTCTTTCTGGTTAAGTACACATGTTTGAAATGCTGACAACTTGTTGAGGACTGATATTTTATAATTGGACATTTCATGTTTCTTCTCAAAGTAGTTTAGTTTCAATTGTGCATGCTAACCAAATTCAACTTTGAATTGTAGAAATGAGATAGAGACATATGTAAATTTTAGTTTGAAACAGTATCAAATTGTCAAGCACATATAATTTAATGTAATCTTCCAAGTTCCTATTACTGGGTTTTTGATCACATGCCTCCATAGGCCTTCAGTTGCTAGTTAGAGGAATTTAATATTGGTTCGTAATGGGAAGAAGTTGGTTCTGGAGTAGGGGAATGTATTTTTTTAAATGCTTTTGGTACAAAGTGGACTTAACTGGTTAGTGTAGAGTCTGGAATAACATCCATAATTTGTTGAAATGGTTCTAATCATGAAGTTATGGGAGCTGGACAAGGAATGGTTTCTTGAATATGATTGTGGGGGTAATACTTTCTGCCCTGGGCATGGGGGTTGGTGCTGTCAGTAATTAGCCGCCAGGAATTTACAGTGTCTGTGTAAACATAGTTAGCACTCTCAGAGTTAACGACTAAGATTAGGGTGAGTGAATTTAGGTTTAAGTGTTAATCCGTTCTTCTTATTAATTTTACAGGAAGGCAGTAAAGGACATTTGATTTTGCTATATAAATCAGTAGGAAAATGATGTATTTAAATATATCTCATTTGCAGAAATCATCTCTGGCTTTCCAGTAACTTGTAAGTTAAAGTTCTGGAGAGAGGACAGAGAGAACAGAAGGAAGGACTTAACAAAAATAACAATAACTGTTGCTATTCCACAGTTTATTTAAATGCCCTTGTGTGCCATGCTCTGTACCACATGTTATTTTAGTTATACAGTGGGGAACAAAACAGATATTTCTCTGGCCTTGAGAAACTAGTGTGGAAGATAATGTTAAACAGAAATCATCAAGTTATTAATGTACTTAACAATTTTGATAATTACATGAGAAGAAAGCACAGGGTTTTATGAGATAAAAGCTGATTCAATTTATAGTAGAGGATAATGGAAGTCTTTATACAAATGTTTTTGCAGAAATCTGAACCATAAGAAAAG